GAGGAGGAGTTGGAGGAGGAGGAGGAGGAGGAGGAGGAAAAGGAGGAGGAGGAGGCGTAAGAGGAGACGAGGAGGAGGAGGAGGAGGAGGAGGAGGAGGAGGAGGAGGAGAAGAAGGAGGAGGAGGAGGAGGGGCAGGGGGAGGAGGCGCAGGAAAAGTCGTTAAGCCATTGACGATCAGGTACACCGCCTCGTTCGCGCCCGGGCTCTTCGAGTCCCCCACGCGCGAGCTCGCGCTCTTCCTCTACGGCGGGGGCTTCTCCCTCGGTAGCCCTAGGGACCCAGAGGAGGAAAGTATCACCCAGATCTCCGACGATACGGTCAGGAATTTTGGCTTAGCGTGTCGCTCCGCCGGTCCTGGCCCACCATGCTTTGGCGTGACACGCTATCCACTTCCCCATTCCCAAGCGTCAACGTCCCGAGCTTTTCCGAGCCTTCCGCCCCGCGGAGCGGAGCGACACGCGATCCGCTTGCCAGGCATAGCGTGTCGCTGGGGCTTCCGCCGCGACACGCTATCCAAAGTTCCTGACCGCATGCTTTTTTCAATTTTCAGGTTTGCTTAGATTTCCGCCCTAGGGGGCGTTCTCGGGGAAAACCGCGACTGGAGCCCCAGACCCCATCCTTCTGCGGCATGTGAGCGATGTAAGAGAACGGGGTCGACTGCGCCGACACTGGCGAGTAAGCTGCCCGCGTGAGGTCGCGCATGAGCGCCCCCGTCTCCAATGTGGGCGTGCCGCGCTGGGTGCCGGCGTAAGCCACCGCGCAAGGTCGCTGTGCCAACTCGCGCTAGACCCGTTGCTGATCGTCGCTCCTGTCTCTTGACCCAGATCGAGCTGTGATGGCCCTGGGGGCCCGAACCCAGACGAGACCGCCCGGTGTGAAACGGTGGCAGGGTCTGGGCTTCAGGGGCGGCCCCTTCGCCCCCCCCTGGAGAGGCAGCGCGCTGTCCTCGCTGGCGGGGGGCTTCTGGGGCGGCGCGCTGGACGTCCGGGTGGCGTCCAAGACGGTGCGCATCGAGGCCGGCCGTGACGTCGAGGCGGCCGCGCAGGTCAGTCGCGCGGGCTCGACGAGCACGCTCAGGTACCCCAGGCCTCTCAGATGGGGTCCGAGCAGATGGGGTCGGAGGATAGCGCCGCACCGCCGATGCATCGGCGATGCACCCTCGACGTCGGCGATACATCGGCGACGTCGCCGTGGAGAAAGTCGGGCTTCATATCGAGCCGCATCGCCGTTGCATCGGCGGTACGGTGCGATCCTCCGACTCCATCTACTCAACTCCGACCCCTATCTAGGAGGCCTCTAGGTACTCCGCGGAGCTCATGCCGCTCAGCTCCCAACGCATGAGTGAGGACCTCTGAGGGCGTCGACAGTACACGGGCACACCCAGATCTCCAGAGATCGAACGCATTGAGAACATCAAAACGGAGGTTTCTCCTCGTGACGCTCCATTTCGGCCACCCCGTATTGAAAAAAGCGCGGCATCGGATCTCTGGGTCTGAATCGATATCAATCTGGACATGTTCCCTCGGTTTCGGCTTCTGGGCCCCACTATCGGGCCCGTGGGCCATCCAATATTGATCCGGGACGAGAAATCAGCGCCACCCCAACATACTAATTCTATGTGTGCGTCGCCCCCGAAAGGGCGACGCTGCGCGCCGAGAAATCTTATAGTATAAGCTTCGTGACGGGCCCTTCCTGGCCATACCGCTCGGCAAACGATCTACTGCAAAATGGTTGTACCATATGTCCGGTTCGGGCGCACTCCTCCAAGGAGGACGCATGGTACTAGTATGACCTTCTGCGTCCCGCGAAAACCTATCCCTGGGAAGGGGGTCGGGACCTCTGGGGCCGCGCATCGAAAATACCTCCCATCTTGTCGCATGTTCGAGGGCTGGAGGGCGCCGATCGCATCACGATCCCAGACATCTTCGCGTTGCGGAAACCTTGAGACGGAAGGCTTCTGCCAATTTTCAAGGGAGGAGAAACCACCCGGACCCGACAATCTGGCGTTTTCTTAACGGCCCTGGGCGTTTACAAAACAGCCCTGCCCTGTTCGATTCGCCTCGCGTTTCGGGGTGGTTATCCGTAAGGGCTTCGCCCCCTGCCGCCGGCCCCATCTCTCGGAGAATGGGCCATGGAAGAGCGAAGTCATGAGGCTTTGGCTTCGCCGTGAAGCAGTGTCGGGACTTGTTTGTTTTTCGACCCTGACCCTACGGATCTGCTTGAGGGGTGCCGCCGAATTTCAGAAATGTGGCAAATCCCTCGTGTGTTTGGACCCTGACCCTACGGATCTGCGTGAGGGGTGCTGCCGAATTTCAAAAATGTGGCAAATCTCCTGTGTTTTTGCACCCTGACCCCGCCGATCTGCTTGAGGGGTGCCACCGAATTTCAGAAAAGTGGCAAATCCCATGTGTTTTTGACCCTGACCCCGCCGATCTGCGTAAGGGGTGCCGCCGAATTTCGAAAATACGTCGCAAACATTGCGCATGGAAGCTGTCTAAACAGGCTCTGTCAGCTTGCAATGACCAAACAGTCTCTAAATTATAGAGCAGCTTGGGCAAGACAGTTGCCTTGTACAGTTTGAAGTTCTGACCGCGGCATATATCAGCGTGCGACCAACGGTGAGACAGCGCTTCAGAAAGAGACTTGGCTTCACCAATTCTCCGAGTGAGTTCAGGTTTTGCTGAACATTTTACATTCAATAGTCCTCCTAAGTACACCGCTTGCTCCACTAGTTTCAGCGGCGCGCCGGTGGGAGAAAGCAGAGTACCAGTGTTATGTACACGCATGCATACAGTTTTATCCCAATTCAGACCGAAGCCATACCTCGCGCTTTCGTCAATGACTGTGTGGAGTAGTGTTTGAAGCTTCCCACTATCGCTGCTGAGGAACATTGTGTCATTGGCGTACAACCAATCACCGCATGCCAAATAGTTCGGCTCCTGGACAACATCGTGTAGGCCAGCCGTAGAACATGACACTTTGAACGATGATGCATGCATATGGTGACAGCGGGCACCCTTGTGCGATCCCTGCTGCTCGAAGACGTTTGCTGGAATTTACATCGGGGTCTCGCAACACAGAGCTTCTGTATCTGTAGATCACCGCTATCGTGTTCAACATGTCCGTAGGGATGCCGAACCTTCGAAGCGCGTCCAAGAGCGAATCGTGCTTCATCCGGTCGAAGGCTTTAGACCAGTCCAGGAGTACTGCAACCAACCCTGGAGATTGATATGTCTCTGCGGCCTCGAACATCCTCCGGGCAATGCTAATCGCCTGGGCAGTGCTTCTGCCTGGGCGGAAACCAAATTGGGTTGAACGAATTGGGTTCCCGGCCCCGCCGTTTTGAATTTGCTTTTGTAACATCCACGCCACAAAATTGTACCCAATCGACAAAAGAGAGATCGGGCGGTAATTCTCTGGCAAGCTGGTGTCCCTTTTTTGTGTAACAGTGCCACGATTGAGGTATGCCATTCTTCTGGTATGTTCTTGTCGCCCCAGCACGTGTGAAAGAAGATTGACAACTCCCCGCATGCCTCTTCTGAAGACAATGTCGCTTTCCAGAACTCCTGGGTGTACTTCGTCTACGCCCCCTGTTTCCCCAGCGGCGAGAGCCCGGAATGCATGTCGAATCTCTTCCATATCGAATGTCCCTGTGTATGTGCCCAATGTGTCTCCATTGTTCGTTCCCCCACTCGTTGGAAGATCGGCATGCGTAACTTTCCATTGGATCTTTTCGAAGTAGTCCGCCAATGTATCAGCGCGTTGTGTGCTCTCCACCAGTTGCCCATGTTTTTTGCGAATTTGTATGGGCTTCTTAGGAGTTCCTTTCCGGACGGCCCGTACAGCTGCCCATATTCCATCAACCAGTTGGGGATCCAACCATCCAACCATTTCTTTTTGTCTCTCCTCACAGATGCCCTGATACGTCTTGTGAGTTCGTGCTCTTCCAACAAGGTTCCCTTTGATTGGCCACCATCCCTCTCAGTCAACAAATCCAGCGTAGCTTGAGAGATTTTCCAATGGCCCTCCCCGGACTCCCGCCAATTCATATTCGAAGGGCCTGCACTGAGGGCCCCCCCAGACACCATCGACCACCTCCCCCCGCGCCAGTAGAACGGAGCCCGAATGCCCAGAACCGCCTTCCTGGCACAGGGATGAGGCCCAGGTGCCTGGCTGCCCCTAAACCACCGCCCGCGGGCTGGTGGGCCGATCCTCCACCCGACCTCGGAACAAGGGGGGGGGGACAAACAAATAACGCACTATTCACACGAGCCTGGACCACCACTCCGCCTCCTCACGAGGCGCGAGACTGAGGGGCCAAAGGGCTCGGGATCTTACTACCCCGCGGCCGGGGTGGGTCGCCTCGAAGGAGCTGTCGCTTTTGCTGTGTAAAAAACGTTACCACAGGGCTTCAGCAATTGACGAGGGGCCCCAGTGCATTATGCCTCACACCTCAAGCGCAGCACCACAGGCAGGGAAGACAGAATCATTTTGGCCACATGCAGAGTGTGGGGCCTGGGGTTGTCGACCTTAATTGGGGAACGCATAGAGGGGGTTAAAGCCGCGCAAGCCCCCCCCCCCCTCGGGTTCTGAGAACCGAAAGCACGAGCACCATCCAGGCGCACCAACGGCCTCGGAACCTGGGGGGGGGGGCGCTCCACTTCCCAAAACGCCCCTGGGCTTTAGGACAGCCATCCAGAATTTGACCCATGCCTGCAGCTAAGGCCAGCCAGCTACCCAGGGCGACCTCGTCATGGAATACGTTCTGGGCCATTTCGGGGATCATTCTAACTCCATCATGTGCATGCTCATCTGTTAGATCATTACCGAGTTTATGAAGACCAGCCGCTCCCGCAACATCGCCTCCCACTTGGGATTTGACTTTACTTAGAGACCAAGGCGGATAGGACCTCGAGTAGAGTACTTTCCAGGCTTCACTCAGCGGACTTCTGCCACTCGTAGCTGCCCTCGGATCTCGGGGGCCTGCACACCGAGCCTGGCAGTAAAATCTTCGAACTGCTCCAGGGCCTGAACCAAGACATAGTGCCCGGCAAGGACGGCACTCTGGGGCAGGAGCTGAGGAAGGTTGCCACAGGCAGCTCTTTCCAACACCCCCAATTCACCAATCTGGATGACAGCCCACCCTGCTCGGGCAACATGCACCTGGGTGGGCGGGTGGCAGCTTCCATCAGACTACAGTTTGTTTTTACTCTGAACTTTGAACCTTGAATTTTGCCTGAACTGTCGAAATATTTGACCTGCCCGTCCCGCATCGCGTCCACGATGCCCTCGGGCTGGGCCATCCACAAACTGGCGTAAAGCGGATAGTCAGGTCCAGCTTCTACAGGCGACCGAACAACATCAGCATTCAATGGCTGGTCGCTCTGGTCGGCGAGACCAGGACAAACAAAGCAGCGGTGGCATGCAGTGTCCTCGGCTCCTCCCTCTGGGGATCTGCAAAAGGGGCACGCAGGCGGGATCTCATGCTTCCAATCGTGTAAACGCGTGGCCGTAACACACGACCTACATAACATCTCCTCCGCAGCTTTGTGAACGCCACGATCACTGCCCAGAAGGTCCTGGGAGGGTCCGTTCACAAACCAAGTTTCAAACTATTCAGAGCCCGAGGGGTAGCTTGAGATATCCATGGTCGGTTTGGGTTCTCTCCCGCGTCCCTTGACTGCTTCTGCAGCATCTACCATTGCGTCGGTGATGTGCTTGGTATGCGACTCTACAGTATTGGGAGTTGTTGGCGCCACCGCTGCCTCGACGAAGCGGCGGTAAACATCTCCAGCAGCGTTGTCGTCCACCATCAGCGTGTTCCAGCGGTATTTGTTTCTGGGTTGCTT